ACCACCGCCAAATTCAAGCAGAAACATAAGATACTTACGCAAAAAACCTAAAATCGTAAAATCTAAAAATGTTTACCATTATTGTCTTTGAACCTACCTGTTGTCCATCTCGTCCCACTGGACCTGCGTCCCCAAGAGGTCCTGGTAAACCCTTTATGACAAAACACACAACACACTCAAACTCAGACAGCGGTTCAAACCTACATGACCATACAAGACACACTCATAATAACGCTACATGACCACACACACACACACACACAACACACTCAAACTAACCCCACATGACCACACACACACACACACACACACACACTCAAACTAAGGCTGAGCACGTACATAATGGCATTTATCATGCATGCATCCTATCAAATATAATCACATGCCTGATAATGCGCTCACCTTCTCTCCCTTTTCACCAGCCGATCCGACGAGGCCGTCAGAACCTTGTGGGCCCTGGAGGAAAAGCAGAACTTCATATATACAAGAAATACCAACAGCAGAAACAGACATCACAAGGTCCAGTCTAATAATAATAATAATAATAATAATAACAATAATAATAATAATAACAACAACAACAACAACAACAACAACTCAATGCATTTAGGCAGTGCTGTGTGTGTGTGTGTGTGTGTGTGGGGGGGGGGGGGGCACTTCTGTTTTTCTTGCCTCTTATTAAATGTCATATTTGTCTGGGATCAAAGGGTTAATCATCACAGCGAGATACAGAGGATACATACAGATGAAGTCCAGCGCTAGTGAAGTCTAGCGAACATTAAACATTGAGGCTCCTCTGCAGCGTGGGTCAGGTGACCTGCTGACCCACAGACCTGCCGGCCGCTCCATCCAGCACATATTAATGGGGGGAGATACACTTATAATGGGAGGTTGTTTATATTTATTTAATAACCGCCCAAATTCATTTCTTTCTTCTTTATAAAGTGTGAAAGACTGTCCAGATTGTAGTCTTTCGAAATCCCGGACTCGCAATTTGCACCAATTAACTGTTTGTGTCCAAGACTAATAAAGTCCATCTCATCTCATCTTATCACACGACTTTGCTGAATAATAGATTCTGGTCAAGTACAGAATCCATTTCTACGTTTCTACCGTTGCTCTCGACGCCGTTTCCAACCGTAAAATGTAAACAGACCATTTTTTGTTTTTGCAGAAGCAATAAAATCATTTTTTTGTGGGTATATTTTCTGTCAAATAATTGCGAGATAAACCCCTTCAGGGTGACTCGAGACGCGGCGGCAGGTTTGGATGGAGATTTGAGGTGCGTTTCTATGAGGGCTATAAATACTCACCGATATTCCTGCAGAGCCATCGGGACCCTGGGGCCCGGCGGCCCCGGGGCTCCCCCTGGGGCCCGGCTTCCCGGTCCCCCCATTAGGACCCGGGAACCCGGGGGGACCCTGGAGGCACAAGGAGGACACACGCAGTTTTAGACATCAACCACACACACACACACACGCAGGGGGAAGCGCACACACACACACACAGTATTTTGTACTGGTCTGGTCTGAAAAAGGTCTGATTCTGATGTCTTCTAGAACATGTACTGCAGATGTATTATGTACTCTAAATGTATATTGTATGTATACTTCTAGATGTATATATGTATACTTCTAGATGTATATATTGTATGTATACTTCTAGATATATATATTGTATGTATACTTCTAGATGTATATTGTATGTATACTTCTAGATATATATTTTATGTATACTTCTAGATGTATATTGTATGTATACTTCTAGATGTATATATGTATACTTCTAGATGTATATAAGTATACTTCTAGATGTATATAAGTATACTTCTAGATGTATATAAGTATACTTCTAGATGTATATAAGTATACTTCTAGATGTATATATGTATACTTCTAGATGTATATAAGTATACTTCTAGATGTATATAAGTATACTTCTAGATGTATATTTGTATACTTCTAGGTGTATATAAGTATACTTCTAGATGTATATATGTATACTTCTAGGTGTATATAAGTATACTTCTAGATGTATATATGTATACTTCTAGGTGTATATAAGTATACTTCTAGATGTATATATGTATACTTCTAGGTGTATATAAGTATACTTCTAGATGTATATAAGTATACTTCTAGGTGTATATAAGTATACTTCAAGATGTATATAAGTATACTTCTAGATGTATATAAGTATACTTCTAGATGTATATATGTATACTTCTAGGTGTATATCATGGAGCTGCAGAGGTTTCTCTGCTCAGCATGGTAACTTACTGCTGGTCCCAGCATACCAGTAGGACCTCCGTCTCCCATTCGACCCTGGGAGGGGAAAGACACTTTCATTAGTGGACCACCACACCACCCTAACACTGACCCTAACCCTGACCCTAACCCTGACCCTAACCCTGACCCTAACCCTGACCCTAACCCGGTCTACACCAGGACCCACTACTGGGACCCACTGATCTACTGGTGGCACACAAGCAGGCTGAATGTCTGTTGTTGCATATAAACAACAAGGTCACGAAGGTCATTATGGAGCGGGCAGGGGTTAGACAGTACAGAGACGGGTCGTTAAGGAGCGGGTAGGGGTTAGACGGTAAAGAGACGGGTCGTTGAGGAGCGGGTAGGGGTTAGACGGTAAAGAGACGGGTCCTTAAGGAGCGGGCAGGGGTTAGACGGTACAGAGACGGGTCCTTAAGGAGCGGGTAGGGGTTAGACGGTACAGAGACGGGTCCATAAGGAGCGGGCAGGGGTTAGACGGTAAAGAGACGGGTCCTTAAGGAGCGGGTAGGGCTTAGACGGTAAAGAGACGGGTCCTTAAGGAGCGGGTAGGGCTTAGACGGTACAGAGACGGGTCCTTAAGGAGCGGGTAGGGGTTAGACGGTACAGAGACGGGTCCTTAAGGAGCGGGTAGGGGTTAGACGGTACAGAGACGGGTCCTTAAGGAGCGGGTAGGGGTTAGACGGTACAGAGACTGGTCCTTAAGGAGCGGGTAGGGGTCAGACGGTACAGAGACGGGTCGTTGAGGAGCGGGTAGGGGTTAGACAGTACAGAGACAGGTCATTAAGGAGCAGGTAGGGGTTAGACGGTACAGAGACGGGACAATAAGGAGCGGGCAGGGGTTAGACGGTACAGAGACGGGTCATTAAGGAGCGGGTAGGGGTTAGACGGTACAGAGACAGGTCATTAAGGAGCAGGTAGGGGTTAGACGGTACAGAGACGGGTCATCAAGGAGCGGGTAGGGGTTAGACGGTACAGAGACGGGTCCTTAAGGAGCGGGTAGGGGTTAGACTGTAAAGAGACAGGTCCTTAAGGAGCGGGTAGGGGTTAGACGGTACAGAGACTGGTCCTTAAGGAGCGGGTAGGGGTCAGACGGTACAGAGACGGGTCGTTGAGGAGCGGGTAGGGGTTAGACAGTACAGAGACGGGTCCTTAAGGAGCGGGTAGGGGTTAGACGGTAAAGAGACGGGTCCTTAAGGAGCGGGTAGGGCTTAGACGGTACAGAGACGGGTCCTTAAGGAGCGGGTAGGGGTTAGACGGTACAGAGACGGGTCCTTAAGGAGCGGGTAGGGGTTAGACGGTACAGAGACGGGTCCTTAAGGAGCGGGTAGGGGTTAGACGGTATACAGAGACGGGTCGTTGAGGAGCGGGTAGGGGTTAGACGGTACAGAGACGGGTCGTTAAGGAGCGGGTAGGGCTTAGACGGTACAGAGACGGGTCCTTAAGGAGCGGGTAGGGCTTAGACGGTACAGAGACGGGTCCTTAAGGAGCGGGTAGGGGTTAGACGGTACAGAGACGGGTCCTTAAGGAGCGGGTAGGGGTTAGACGGTACAGAGACGGGTCCTTAAGGAGCGGGTAGGGGTTAGACGGTACAGAGACTGGTCCTTAAGGAGCAGGTAGGGGTCAGACGGTACAGAGACGGGTCGTTGAGGAGCGGGTAGGGGTTAGACAGTACAGAGACAGGTCATTAAGGAGCAGGTAGGGGTTAGACGGTACAGAGACGGGACAATAAGGAGCGGCAGGGGTTAGACGGTACAGAGACGGGTCATTAAGGAGCGGGTAGGGGTTAGACGGTACAGAGACAGGTCATTAAGGAGCAGGTAGGGGTTAGACAGTACAGAGACAGGTCATTAAGGAGCGGGTAGGGGTTAGACGGTACAGAGACGGGTCCTTAAGGAGCGGGTAGGGGTTAGACGGTAAAGAGACAGGTCCTTAAGGAGCGGGTAGGGGTTAGACGGTACAGAGACTGGTCCTTAAGGAGCGGGTAGGGGTCAGACGGTACAGAGACGGGTCGTTGAGGAGCGGGTAGGGGTTAGACGGTACAGAGACGGGTCCTTAAGGAGCGGGTAGGGGTTAGACGGTAAAGAGACGGGTCCTTAAGGAGCGGGTAGGGCTTAGACGGTACAGAGACGGGTCCTTAAGGAGCGGGTAGGGGTTAGACGGTACAGAGACGGGTCCTTAAGGAGCGGGTAGGGGTTAGACGGTACAGAGACGGGTCCTTAAGGAGCGGGTAGGGGTTAGACGGTATACAGAGACGGGTCGTTGAGGAGCGGGTAGGGGTTAGACGGTACAGAGACGGGTCGTTAAGGAGCGGGTAGGGGTTAGACGGTACAGAGACGGGTCGTTAAGGAGCGGGTAGGGGTTAGACGGTACAGAGACGGGTCCTTAAGGAGCGGGTAGGGTTAGACAGTACAGAGACGGGTCATTAAGGAGCGGGCAGGGGTTAGACGGTACAGAGACGGGTCCTTAAGGAGCGGGTAGGGGTTAGACGGTACAGAGACGGGTCGTTAAGGAGCGGGTAGGGGTTAGACGGTACAGAGACGGGTCGTTAAGGAGCGGGTAGGGGTTAGACGGTAAAGAGACGGCTCATTAAGGAGCAGGTAGGGGTTAGAAAGTACAGAGACGGGTCATTAAGGAGCGGGTAGGGGTTAGACGGTACAGAGACGGGTCGTTGAGGAGCGGGTAGGGGTCAAGGATGCCTCCAGGTTAGGCTGCAGACATTGGGGTTCGAACCCAGAACCTTTTGGCTGACAGTCAAACACCCTAACCACTATACTATCCCAGCCCACCCCCCCCCTCTAGAGTGAAACACACGTAGAAATGAAAGTGAAAAGAAGGAGTCGAATGCAAACATCTCCACAACGCTGCGAGGCGACCAAGTGTGCTATAAATCAAGTTAATAATAGCGTAGCACAGCATAGAAGGCGCAGCGAGTGACGCGGCGAAGCACGCCGTTAGCATTCAGCGTCGCCGCTCCTGTGCATAATGTGCAGCGCTCGCCTGACGACGCTGTCGGCTCGGAGGAGGAGGAGCGGCTCCATAACTCACACGAAATGTGAGCGCGTGTGGATCCGATCTCTCTCCGGTTGGCGCCGCGCCATCGCTCACTGTGCAGCTCTGCGCGCGTGTAAACGTACGGCTGTTTGTGTTGCGACTCACAACGACGCGCGTCAGGAATGCTAAGTGCGGTATTTTATCCGTGGACGGTAAACTGCACCGGCAACCACGACAGCCATGTATGATTTACTGAACTGTTTTACACACATGTGTGTGTGTGTGTGTGTGTGTGTGTGTGTGTGACTGGATGCGACCAGTTCATCACAGCGAGTCGCTTTGGATGAAAAGTGTCTTCTGAATGAGTCCATGGCGCCGCTTTATAGGCGGGAGGAGTTCATTTCCTCATTAAGCGGACGCTTTCATCCCGAGTGACTTAATAAGTGATGGGGTTAAAGGTAGGGATGGGAATCGAAAACCGGTTCTTGTTGAGAACCGGTTCCCAGTGTTTCAATTCCTTGGAATCGTTTGCCAATTTCGCAAACGATTCCCTTATCGATTCCAGTGGACGCGAATGACGTCACCACACACGTTGCCTAGCGACTCCAGCGCAGCCAGCGGTCAACGGTAACCATGGCGCCCAAGCGGTACAAACGCTCAAAAGTTTGGTTACACTTCACAAGAAAAGACGACAACAGGGCAACTTGCAATACTTGCAATGTGGATATTTCCTCAAAGGGAGGAAATACTTCCAACATGCAAAAACATTTGCGCACACAGCATGCGATAACGATTTCTGAATGTCGCGTTTTCGATGCGCTCCGGACGAACGTCACTGAATCCTTTTTTTCCAAATGAGAATCGATAAGAGAATCGATAAAGAACCGGAATCGAAAATGGAATCGGAAAAATCGTATCGATTCCCATCCCTAGTTAAAGGTGTAGTCAGCCATCCTAATCCAAGACACTTTGATGCTGACTATCTTTAAGGTGCAGGTAGGGGGGAGGGAGAGCCTGGCAGCGCCAGACCCACATCAGAAAGATGTCGGGTCTGGCGCCGCTCCCGCTCCATCGGCAGTGTGGCGGGATAAACGGTTGTCGTTCAAGTTCCCTCTGCACGCAATAGGATAGCGCTACAACCAATCAGAGCGACGAGGAAGGTGACGTAGTCATGGCGACGGACATTAGTCCATGGGGAAGTGTTCCTATGGTGGATTGTGGAAGAATAGCGAAATAAAATGTTAACTTCAAGTCTTGAAGAGTCGCGGCCAAAGCCGAGTGGAGAGACAGCCGTTCGCCGGCAGCAGCAGCCATGGCTACCATGGCAACTCTGTCGTCATGGTAGCCCGGCTTCCGACTCCGCCCCTCACGCTGTGATTGGCCTGACAGATTTTCTGTTTGTGCAGGTAGGGGTCCCCATATGCATACGGCGTCGCAGCAGATTGCTGACATGAGCTATCTCATAGACATCCTGTGTATATAAACCGACCGCCTAACGATTCGTGACGAGCAAACGACTACTAATCACCGAGTGTGTGGCGAGTGAGAGACGCGATTACGTTCACCGGGACGTCGATATTACCGGCAGATGTTGCTCCGGGGTGACTACAGGTAGACTGCAGACGCCCAGAGATCAAACTCAAATTCAAAAACAACTTTATTAATCCCACTGGGGGCACTGGGGGTTATGAGTGGGTTATAACTGTGTGCTAACTGTGATAGTGGGGAGGGAACTACACTGTGTGAGTGTTGATGAGTTGTGCTGCAGGTAAAGGTGAGGAGGACAGGGGATTCTCACCTGAGACCCGCGAGGTCCTCTCTCCCCAGGGGAGCCCGCTGGTCCCTGGATGACCACACACACACACACACACACACACACACACACACACACACACACACACACACACACACACACACACACACACACACACACACACACACACACACACACACACACACACACACACACCAGGTCAACACACATCGTAATAGCGATAATCCGGGTCCAAAATGAACACCTGCCACCAGCCAATCTCCGGTAGATTCATCACAGACACAACTCCAAAAGTTAACTGTGGATCCTGGTAATAATAAACATGCATTCATAAATACATAAAGTAGGAGACAGATGGGCACTTCAGAAAACAAGATGATGCAAATAAAAATACACACAAAAATCATCTGACTGGCACATAAAATGAGTACATATAAATAAAAACAGATACATTAAAAAAATAAAAATAAAATAAAATCACATGAATAAAAACAGAAAGACCTGCACAGAGAGACAGACAGACAGACAGACAGACAGACAGACAGACCGGTAGTGTATGTGTCAGTCTTCACAGCACATGTTTTATACATATATGTAATGAATGTGGGATGGAGGGTAGGAAGGACTTACTGGCAGACCGGTCTTCCCACCAGGTCCCACTGCTCCTCTCAACCCAGGCTCCCCCTGGTGGACAGAAACGTTGCATTAGAAAAACTTTAATAAGTAATACATTATTCCAGGGTCAAACACCCTAGCTGCTAGGGCTGGGCAAAAAATTCAATTGCCCAATGATTCAGATCGCTTATCCTCTTTGAATGGTATTGCATCGTCATGAATAAAGTTGATATCGACTTATCCTGATACCCAGTTTTATAGTATAAATGAATTACGACGAGACGATATGCCCGTAAAATGATCAAATATGAGGTTTGAAACATCAGCGAGAAAGGAAAACTAGTTTTAGTCTGAAAACCACACTTTAAATGTCTATATACTTCAATGTAATGCCCCTCAGTTAGACTGTTAAGAATAGTATTTATGAATATATATATATATATATATATATATATATATATATATATATATATATATATATATCGTGATATTTATCGAATTATCGTGATAAATGATTTGGTCTGTGCCCATAGCAAATGAATTGAGAGGTTCCAGACTTATACGCATTTGCAAATTGGTCTGGCGATGCCCGGCTACTTAGAGAGCATGAATGCAGGTGAAGAGGAGGTGGAGGTGTAGAGGAGCTGAAGAGGAGGTGAAGAGGAGGTGTAGAGGAGGTGTAGAGGAGGTGCAGCGGAGGTGTAGAGGAGGTAAAGAGGACGTGAAGAGGAGGTGAAGAGGAGGTGTAGAGGATGTGAAGAGGAGGTGTAGAGGAGGTGAAGAGGAGATGAAGAGGAGGTGAAGAGGAGGTGTAGAGGAGGTGTAGATGAGGTGAAGAGGAGGTGAAGAGGAGGTGAAGAGGAGGTAAAGAGGAGGTGTAGAGGAGGTAAAGAGGAGGTGTAGAGGAGGTGTAGATGAGGTGAAGAGGAGGTGTAGAGGAGGTGAAGAGGAGGTGTAGAGGAGGTGTAGAGGAGGTGAAGAGGAGGTGTAGAGGAGGTGAAGAGGAGGTGTAGAGGAGGTGCAGAGGAGGTATCTCACCCTCTCTCCCGGGTGTCCTGTTGCCCCACGCATGCCCACCGTCCCTGGGAAGCCCTGAGGAGCACACAGAGGGCAGATGGTGACAGAGGATAACATGGAGACAACATGAGGAGAACCCCCACGGCCCCACACCTCCTGATGGGGAGGCTGGGAACCAGGGATGCAGATGTGGGGGGGGGGGAGGAGGAGGAGGAGGAGGGGGGCGTAGAGGAGGAGGAAGAAGAGGAAGAGGGGGGTAGGACGAGGAGAAGGAGGAGGAGGAGGGGGAGAAGGTAGAGGAAGAGGAGGAGGAGGAGGAGGAGGAGGAGGAGGAGGAGGGCGTAGAGGAGGAGGAAGAAGAGGAAGAGGGGGGTAGGACGAGGAGAAGGAGGAGGGGAGAAGGTAGAGGAAGAGGAGGAGGAGGGGGGAAGGAATAGGAGAAGAAGGGGGAGTAAGAGGAAGAGGAGGTAGGATGAGGAGGGGGGGAGGAAGAGGAGAAGAAGCAGGAGGAAGAAGAGAAAGAGGAGGAGGAGGAGGAGGAGGGTAGGACGAGGAGGAGGAGGAGGAGAATGGGGGAGTAGGACGAGGAGGAGGAGGAGAATGGGGGGGTAGGAGGAGGAGGAGGAGGAGTTGTATGGGTATGTAGAGGAGAGCCTTGCATCTGCCTCAGTATAAAACAACAGCAGACTCTTTTTTTAATTGTCTTAGCAGTATTGGGGTTATGCAATAATAAAAAAAATTAAAAAAAATAATATATATATATATATATATATATACTGTTATATAATATAATACACACTTAACACGTTCTACAGTCTTAATTAAGATTAGTTATGTCCTTAAATACATGGACATAAACTTGTTTACCCTGAACATTAAATGAACATAAAATGTAATGTATTGCGCCTCCTGTTTGGACCGCTTAGAATGGCGCTGTGAATTTATAATAACGGTTATAAATGGTTAATGGTTATCGCCGTTATTAATGTCCTTATTGCTGCATCCCCTGTAGAGGATCATTCAGGATGAACTCGTCTTTTAACAGAATAAATATTATAAATATCAGTTAGAATTGTTACCAGGCAACGACTGGGTAATACCCATTTCAGTTGGGTTTAAATGCGCCAATGCTGAAGCTTAACACCAAAGCTACATTTGCGACACAGATCACATATTTAATCTTTTTTTTTTTTTTGCATGTTATGACGACAGCCGTTGATATCACTCTTGTTATGACTAATATGTCTCTCAGTCTTATGATGAAGGGGTCAACAGCAGATTGAAGACGGATCGATTTGTCAGTTATTTAAAAATATAGTGCATGGCTTACATACTTTGGGTGTGTTTATTACATACTAATTTTACATACTAGAGTGTGTTTAGTA